CTATAACCCATTAGATATTAGTATATCATAGAAATGAATCTGTTCAACTTTTTCACATTTAGAGGATCATATCCAACACCATGCCCGGATATATATCGAACACGTGTATTGGAAGGAACATAAGTGGTGAGAGCAACATCGGTGAGATGCGTTCAAGATTATAAAGTAATGACAATGTAGAAAATATACCAGATCTGTGGCACTATAAAACATTCTACTTGAACAAGGGTGGGATCATCAGATATTTGTATATGTACGACATCGGTATACTTAACTATGTTCTCTTAGATCTTAGTGTTTGTGTGTGTTAAATTGGGATATTTCAAGAAAAATGAAAGTAACATGTGATGACAAAATATAGAATAATACTTAGAGATCTATCCTGAAATCATCAAATACATCAAGGGATGAACTAAAGTCAGAAAATATGTTATAGCATTTCATAAACTTGAAAGATAACAATATCAAACGCATAAATATAAGTGATGGAGAAAATTCACAATTAAATCCCCTCGGACCCCAGCTTCTTCAATAGCTTCCCTCACAGCAGCCTCCTCGACTGTTTCATCATTCTCCCAACCTCCCTTTGGAAACAAGAGACCTGGTCCGCTAGTTGAGGTAATCATCAGTACCTCAACCATCTTTCCAATTTTACATCATCTGTCTCGTTTGAATTATATACCCTCAAACTTCATCATCGGTTCTTCATTGCTTTCGGGTACCGGAGGTGGCTCTTTCGCTGCAACTGCCCTAACCACCGGAGTTTTCTCAGCTTGTGGCACGTAGGTAATATTCACCACAGGCACCTGGTCGTCTGCTTGAGCTGTCTTCTGAAGTTCGTCAGCCATGGTGAAAATTGAAACAGGAGAGGGGGAAGAAAGAGAGTCCATCCCCCTTTTCGTGGTAGCCCCCGTCCCTTTTTCTTTGCTCATAACAGGAAGAGTAAAAGAACCGGATGAAAACCCGAACTGCATCATGCTGAACGCCAGGGATTGAAATTGATATCTTACGACCAGAGCCTTTTGCTTGTTTCAGCATGCCTCGCAAGACAGGAGAAGCCATGCCGAGAACAGATGCATGTGCATAGATGATTCCACCATTATCAGTTCTAATGATAACATCGACCCTAAAGCCTCCATCAAAGAGGTTATCCCACATATCTCTCGTGGATGTCGACGAACAGCTGTTTCCTTTTGCTATCCACTGTTCATCGTAAATAACCCCTTCCGCCGACAGTTTGTAGCTGGGCCTGGTAATGGAGGTGGCGTTGGAGGAACATCATTGCCACCTTCATGAGATTGCTTCGAAACAACTGCCATCCGTCCAATTCACTTCCCTTTTGGAGGGATTTAACACGGGATTTTTTATTCTTGAATCTTTCTGTGTCAGCTTCTCTTCCTAACGTAATTTTTCAATGGAGAGGGGAAATGGAAAAGGCGAACACCGATTGCTCTGTTTCCGGCTAAACATGTGTAGTAGTAAAAAGAGACAAAATTAAACAGTGCAGGAATCTGCCATTCCAGACGAACAAACACAAATTTTAAGCGCCGCCGCCAGTGGCAAGAGCTTAGATGAAGAGGTTCCAGAGAAATGAGAAACGGGTTGCTTTTAAATTCCAGTCTGCCCCTATCTGTCACCACCAACTCCCCAGAAATATCGCTAACTCAGTTCCACGATATTTCCCCCCTTGATTTATGGTGGCATGACGATGGTGGGAGTACTGGAGGTTGTTGGGTAGTGTTTGTGAGAAAATGTCAATAGAAGTGATGTAGTGAGTTATGATTTGTTTTTTTGGGTGATGGATGCTGGACCGGATAAAAACTGGGGTCTATACATATTAATTTTTTAATTAACTTTTTATGCTATCTAAAAAATGTCACATCAAATGTATTTTTAAAAATTTATCCTATAGATCATACATTTATCTACATAACAATGTAGCTGCAAGAATTTATAATGAATACAATAAAAAAATATTAAAAAAATTATCAAGAAAAACGCACATAATGCATGTTAGAAACATAGGTTTACCACCAACATGAACATAAATACAAATCGGGCTAAACAACAATGTATATATATAAATCTTGTATTCAATCATTAATTATTGTATATTTAAAATTTTATATTTAAACATTTGAAAAATAAATAATTAAACAATGTGAAATTTGAGCATCTTATAATTAAAATGATTGATTTTATATAGTCAAAGATAGATGTTGAATTTGATCATATCAACATTATGAATTGCAAGTAGTATAGTAGAGTAGCAGCGTACCTTTGATCTTTGTTAAATTTAATGCTAGAATGTTTTCGTTCATATGTCATGTTGACTGAAAGATGACTTTAGGAAAAGTAAGGAAAGGTTCTTAGTGGATTTAAAATTCATGACCTATAAAAATACGAGAAAATAATAATAGAACAACGATATGTAAACTCAGTTAATATTTAACTAATTTAATTTATATATTAAATTGTATCATGGTTCTCAACTTGTATAAATGTTTTATAACTATTTTCTTTTACCAGAAAAGAGAACGGCGCTGTTTAACGTTAGAGACGTGAGATACGACTCGCGTCCATATTTTTCATCGAAGGTTTAACGAGAACCGTAGAGGATATTGGTTCGATCCTAGGATTTTCTTTAGATGATAAGATGGCTTCCCTCCATCATGTACATGTTCCATCGTACGCTTCATCAAAACCGTAACAAATATCAATCTTTACAATCCTAGGGTTTCTTTTCCTTTTTCTTTTTCATACCCGGTAAGTAGCTAATCATCTTAGAACGTATTCTATTTTTTTTGATTTTTTTTAAAAATAATAATAATTTTCTGTTTCCCGTTTGGTTACCGGGAAACCAAAATTAAAAAAGACTGGAAGCTTAGCAGCCCCACATTAACCAGCAGCTTCACTTCTCTCCGCCGTTCATTTGGATAATAATTGTAGCATGGTGTAATATTTGCTTTTGTAGTGTTTTCAGGATGGCGTCGAAAATAATTGACGATTCTTTGGGTAATAAATTTACTTTATTTGATATAAGAATCATGATTCCTGTTTGTGGATAGTTCATATCTTGCTTCTTACATCTCATTATCTTCATACTTCTCTTTTCAGCTTCAGCTAGATGCAAAATTTTTGTATAAGAAATCGGAAAATGGAGCTGATTCAGTTTTGCTTGCCGGCAGCCTTTGCATAAATGGACTATTTGGTCAAAGAAAGAGTAAATTTACTCGAGGGGTAGATTCAGGTGAAATCATAAAGTGTTTGGAACTTGAAAACTTTGATAAGCTGGAACTGGTGATCGATCATGAGCTTTCATGCAACATTGATTGACACTTGAGAGAAGTCGATACTGGTGATCGATCATGAGCTTTCATGCAACATTGATTTACACTTGAGAGAAGTTGATACGATTATGGATGAGTCTACTGAGAGTTTACCTTTGTTAGGCAATGCTGCAGATCGTATATTGGCCATGGAGTTTCAGTCAAGAGATGCTGCAAGGGAATTCTATGTTGCTTACGGCAGACTAGCTGGTTTTACAGTTTGAATCCAGCATAATCGACGTTCACGGATAAACAACACGGTTATCGGTCAAGAATTTGTTTGCTCAAAAGAAGGTTCCCGTGAAAAGAAATATATGTATAGAAAAGACAGGGTTCTACCTCCCCCACCAAGCACTCGAGAGGGCTGCCCTGCAATGCTGAGGCTGGCTATAAGGGATGGAGTAAAATGGGTTATTACCAAATTTGTCAAGGAGCGTAATCATGATGTCACCCAGAAAAGTACAGGGGCAAGGTTCTGCGGAAACATTGATCAGCAAGGTATGCCATGTTCTTTTTTTCAATTATAAATCAAGGTGCATCGTGCATACGAGTTAGCTTACTAGTTCATGATATCATATTCGATATAAATAAGGTGATGAGAAGTATGGATCAAGATTAGTGAGCCCTCATTCTTTCAGGTTTCACTCTAACCATGTAGAAATAGAACTGTAAGAATGCTCAAGTATATAATGCATCTTGTATCATCTTCCTTTTTTCACCTAATAATGGTTTTTCTTCTAGGATGAGAAGGATCGGAGAATACAGGAACTAACCCAAGAACTGAACAATGAGAAACAAAAATGTAAACGATAATGTGCTGCTTACTAGGAACAATTACGCACCTTATTGAAGTTTGTTGAGGAGCATACCGATCAATTGTCAAGAAGAGTTCAAGATATAGTCTACAACATAAAAGAACTTGAAGCGTAACTGGGAGATCGAGGTTCTGTTTATTCTATCTTCTCGATAGGCCAAAAATTTGTATGGTACACTGTACGATTCCTTTACAACCCTTGTTTGGATATATACAATGGTTATTTTACTAATGCAAAAAGTAGTTAATTTATATCATTTCTTGCATATTTGGGTTAGAAATTGCAAGGCCTTTCTGGGAATTGTAGTGTTAAATGTAAAAAAGAGTGGACATTGGAACTAGTCTTCCGTTGAACCATTTCTGAGGTAGATAGAAGAATTATAGGCAAGCTAAGAGCCCCATTAAGGTCTCTTTTTATTGAGTGTCAAGGGCTTAAAGGCTAAATATGCTAAAGAAAGAACATTGAGACTAATTTTGTCATACTTGCCATCTTTCATAAGTATTGAAAACCATTGCAGTCAAAGAATCATAAGCAAGATGAGGGGCCTATAATCTCCGGCATACAATTGCAGTCCAAAGAATTATAAGCAAGCCAAAGGGCTTATGAAAGCCGGCATACAATTGCTTCGGCCTATGAAAGCCAGCATACAGTTGCAGTCGGCAGATGGAAAAGCAGCAAGTTAAAGAGATCTATAAAAGCCGGCTTATAGTTGCAGTCAAGCAAGAATGGCAGAATTTGCACGCAAATGTACCTAAAGCTCGAAAATTCATAAAACACTTGAACAAAAGCATATCAGAGTAGCATTGGTACAATATTGTTGGATAAGTAGCTTTGACTGAACCCAGATAAGATTAATGCATGGACAATAGGTATACAATTCCGACGAGAAACTCGAGGTTGAGCAATTTGACATAATTTTACACCTTCTGTCTTCTAGAAAAATGTGTGCACAAGGAAGTTTTATGGATACTTGATAGGGAAGTTACCGGAAACTTGAGCATCACTACAATGATTCTCGGGAAGTACTGCAACTTACTCCATGCATAAGGACTCTCTAAGGAAGTAAGAGTAAATAAACATCTACCAAGCTATTTTGAGGATTACATTAATCATGAATCCACCTATCTCCTCTTTTTCTTTAGGAGTGAAGCAGCACGAAGAAATATCCGATCTACCTCATCAAAATTGGGTGAGTTAACATCTTCCTCAGATGTTGTGGGAACTTTTGAGCCCATAGGTATTTGGCGCAGGTGCTCCTCAAAATCTTCAGGTTCCCCGTCACTCTCTTTTGGAAATTTGTCAAATTCATCCAAGAAAAGCGGCTGTTCTCTCTCCTCTGTCTCAGTGTCGGACTCGGTCTCGAAAATATCTGACAAGTCCTCAGAATCTGAAGCCATAAGCAAATCTGTTTTGGATTCATTTTCAGAAAGTTCCTTGCTCTCATCCAAAATTTCTTTCAATTTATTTGACCCTTCATGTTGAATGCTTGAAACCTTCCCAGAATTCGCATTGTGATTATCAGTGTTTGGCACATGTTGCATAGGGTCGGGGTTATTCGCAGCTTGAGCACGTAGCAACTCAAGGTCCTGCTCGAGCTTTGGGATATACTTCCTGACGGCTCTAAGACCATCTCTGTATTTGGATTTATCCAGAGCCTGTACATCAGAAATGGAAAGAAAATGATGTAAGGCAAATTTAGACGATTAAGTACGAATACAGAAGACATTGCAAGCTCCCTTTCTGACATCGTTCCAAATGGGAGCTTAAATAATAACATGCTTGACATATAAGAGAACATTCTCAAAGCTGGCTGAGCAAACTGAAATTCATTTTCAATATTTGGGTGAAAAATAGAATCAAGAAAAGGAGACAAGAGAGACCTTCTTTCTAGAAAGAGTGACCCGAGGTGACATAATCTCTGTCGGCGGCTGAGAATAATTCTTCCCTCTGTACATAATTATTGTATTATCTTCATGAATGTCAAGCACAATTCCACCGGTTAATCTTGCAAGCTCAGCAGCAATCTCCTTGACTTCCTCCGGTGAGAATGTCTTAACAACCACCTTCAAAGTCTGATGCTTCTTCCAATGAAGGTGCATGTTCAAAATTACACCCTGGTAAATTCCTCGTCTTCCAACTGGCACATAATTTTTGCACTTGATTCCCATCTTCAAAAAGAAAAAGTGCTCTTCCGGAGTCAATATTTCTGGATCATGGGTTGTTTCCGATGATTCAGCTGGCTCAATCTTATTTAAAGCTGTCACAAGTCTTTCTTCTTTCTTTCGAGCCTGAAGAACAAATGGAGGAAATGCACATGAAACAAAAGTTGGAAACAGAAGAAATTACAGGTACTAACATATATATGACCATCTAAACAGCCACAACATCAAAATCACTCACTCACGAGGGAGAGAGAGCAGTGGCTTGAAGTAGACCCTAATCAATAAGCAAGAATTTTTGTAGAAAAAAAAACTGGGAATAACCTTTCCAAGTTTGTAAAGAATTTTTTCTTCAGCTGTCATTCTTTCATAATCTTTCTTCTTCTTCCACCTGAAGAATTTCAACCACCTTACTACAGCACGTTTACCCTTCAGTTTCTTCCTCTTCACCTTAAGGTTACCACTACAAGCATCATTGGTGCTAGCACCTCTCTCAGAATGGTCGAACATCCCACCAGCTTTTTCAGAAGCATTTGGAAATGGAGCTGAATGAATCCAGCCATGCCCCTCGAGCAGAAACCTCTTTATGTCATAGGTTGGAGCAAACGCCTGTTGTGGAGCAAAAGCCTTGCATATAACATTACCCAAGCTACTTCATAGTTAGTACATGCAAATTGTTTAAGGATATGTTGTTTTTCAAGTGAAAATTTCAGATATGCACACACATTTTATATTTAACACTTTCTTCAATGGGGTAAAGCCTAAAGGTTACAGATTTTACCAGGATGTTACCCACAAAACAGACAATGGGATCTTGAAAACAAGGGAGGAAAAATAATACAACAAAATTATAACATGATTCTTATTTCATACATCAACGCCAACAAGATCATTTGAAAAATAATCATGAAGCCTTTTTTCCATTCCATGAAAGCAAAGGAGCAATAATTAATATGGTTTTCCAATGAAACCAAAGCCAAAGGGTTCTTGGTTGGACCAAAAGCAAAAGGTGAATCCCAATTAAATTTCTTAAATTTTTCCAACAAAGATACAATAACATACAACATTAAATTAAACTACATATTTAGTCTGGTTCAGTTTTGATCACCTAACAATGTTTTTTTAAATCATCACCACCGCTACATCTTAATTTTATTTTGGTCATCCGCCCTTAAATAAATTAAACCAAAACATAACATTAGGTGACCAAATACGTAGTTTACCCAAATATTACAAGGGCATCGAATTCCTAAAATGCCAGTCACAAAGATTATTCATTTCATGTTGAAATCATACCAAATTGCCAAAAGCCGAGCTCTTTTCTATGATAAAAACTGCGTTTGCTTCACTGAATTAACACATTAGCTATTCAAACAGAATGAAATTGGAACATGGAAAAGAACCCTATCGCATTGGGAAAACGGTGCCGGCAGGAACTCTTAAGGCACAGATTCATCTCCATCACAAAACAAAACATATAGAAGAACAAATAGAGAAAAAGGTACCTGGTTTTGAGAAGGGACTTATCTGGGACGGAAATGAGTGAATTAGCGAGAAGAATATTGAGCCTACGTGATCTTCCTGAAGCTGAAAATAAAACCCTACCCGCCATTTCAATATCTCTTCTCCACTCTCTGTGCTCCGTCTCAAATTTAGGTCGCCTTTATAAGCTATGAACCGGTTTAATACCGGCCCACAAGCACGACGGTAATAACCTCTACCACGATCAACTCAAGTAGTGGATCGACCCGAATCAAAACCTACGAAATAATTTAATAAATAAATAATCTAAATAATCTGACAAATTCAAACGACTAAATTAACTACTATCACCACACTCAACATGAACTAAAAGGGTCAGTTCAAAATTTGTGGGTAATAGTGGAGGAAGCGATAAATCAGATTCCAGTTCGGTATCTCCAGCAAAAATTACGAACGTCCGTATCAAATCCTAGTTCAACGATTTCTTATTAACAAAACAATTATACGACATTTACGAGAATTTCTGGTTCGAATCAAGAATCAACATCGATGTTTCGGTTCGAATATGGGATTATCGATAACAAAAATAAGGGCTGCCGGTTCGAGTTGGGACAATTGGTTCGGCCACAACCAACAACTACCAACAATGGTCACCGTGGCAACAGTTGCAGACAAGGGTAATGACAGCCAACACGGCTGCTACAGGGGGGCATCAACGTTCACGGGCCAACAAAGGTGATTATCAACCAAGACCCAGCCATTTTGGCCTTCCTCGAAGAGAGTACGATCGACCAAACAGCCACTACCACTGTGGACAACCGGAGCAACATCAGTGGAAGCCCTCGATACTTACCAAAATATTAAACGGCGGCGAACCCTTGACTAAGCAAGGAGATAGGGAGAAGAACGACTGAACAACATTATCGACGAAATGCCCGATGAAAAACAATCATTGCTTGAAGAGTGAAAGAGGAGCGCCAGTGAAGAGAAGAAAGAAGAAAGGAAAAAGGAAAAAGGAAAAAGGAAAAAGGAAAAAAGGAGCGCGGTCGCGTGAAGAAACAAGGGTGAGAGTTGTGATATAAAGGAAAATGGGGTAATATTATGGTTAGTCCCTATAGTTTCAAAATATTTCTAAAGTGGCCCAACTTATTGCGTACTTTGCAAAATGCTTACCGAAATTCTGTCAAAATTCAATTTCGCCTTAAACGTAATTTTAGGGATTCAAATGAAAATCCCCGATTTGTAGGGATTCGAATTTGAGGAAAATATGGGGTGCTACACAAACTTAATCAAGATTCAAGAATAATTAAGGATAGTTAAGTTTTATCTCAAGCTACCAAACACTAAAAGTGACTCGAATAAACTTCTTATAACTAAAGGCTCAGCAGGCACACAAGTACTAGTAAGAATATCAAGATTCAGAGCATCAACTAGTGATGTACACATCAACCAACCACAGTGTAAGAGTTGGGTGAACCAAGGTCAAGGTAACACTGTCCCATATTTTTGAAGGAGAAAACAACTCAATGTTATAAGTGTATATCTTCTGTTAATGTAAAATCATATCCTGCAGAATTAATTGACAACAAATATGTCATGAGAACAGCAGAAATCAGCAATTGGGTTAACTCACGTGGTGAAGGCATCACCCAGCCGACAATCTAAATGACCAATATAATTACTGAATATAAGAGACAACACGAGGTTATCATGTACAATGAGTGCGCGTCAGTGATTTCGTTATTGTAAACAAAGCTTTCTAGGGCTGAATTATGCCGAGCTACAGAAGTATGCGCACAAATTTCACACTTTTTACTTCTCATAAAATTCAGCAAGCAAGTTATTGAATGAGTGAGAGACATTCTAATTCCAAACCATTTTTGTCCAAGAAAAAACATTTTATTTTTCCTCCATTATTCTTATCTAGTATAAGATTGAACCATATGTTGTAGTCCAAGCTAGCACACTAGATTGTAACAATACTGAAGATTATGACTAACATTATGTAATGAAATGCATGCTAAGGTCCACTTGAGAAGAAAGGTACATACGAAAACCTAAGTCTAATTTGGAGACAAAGCTAGTATAACGTTTAATGCTACGTTTGGTTAATAGGTACTAACATGGGGAAAACTTAATTATTACTATTAGCTTTAAAATAGTTTCCCATGACATAAAGAACTAATATAAATCTAAGCTTGAAATTAGAAAGATGAGTAAAAACTCAAGTAAAAAATAATACCTACTTATAAAAACAATATTTATTCCTTCTCTTTGTTCAAACTAAGTCGTGTGGTTTGGCTAAAAATTACCAAATGAAAATTTGTTGCTAACTTATGTACTAAAACATGATGAATACACTCCTACCCAATGTAGCATAAAAGGTTTATTTAGGGACAAAGTATAACATTTAAAAGGGAAAAAGAATGACTCTCTGTAATATGAACTACAAAAATTTAACCCAATGTAACTAAAAAATTTCACTTTTAACTTGGAACCTTGGTTTTAAAAGGCACAAGACACACGGAGGCGTAAAGGGTCCCTGGAGCCTAAGCACAAGGCGCAGGATGAAGAAGCGCACCTTTCGTAGGCGAAACACACTTTTATACTAAAAAAATGTAAGTCAATTATATAACATATTGTGTAAAAAAAACAACATTATAATCATATTGTGGGCACTTAAATATTAAAATATTCAATACCATACACTAACAACATAAATTAATATGAAAGCATAGTTCAAGTATAAGAAAGATAAAAGAACAAAAAGCAAACATGATTGTTGAAGTCTTGAAGACTTAAAGTTTCTAATTTTTTGTTTGACACACAACACAATAGAACTTAAACATTAAATACTTAAACACTCTAATACTCCACTAATCCAAATCATACTGATCAGAACCGTAATCTCCACCATCTCCTCCATAATCTTCATCTTCACCAATATCCTCTTTCATCTCATCTTCATCATCAATACACCAAAACTTTATGAGAAGAACTAGTAGTTGCGCCTTTTCCTTTTCTTTTATCAAATCTAGAAGATGGTATAGAAGTTTTGGCATTGAACCTTGATGCTCTAGTCAAATAACTAGGATCATGGGCTCCGACAACTTTACTAACTTGACCTATGTCAGACCATCATTCTCATCAAACACAAATTCATCTTCATCATCAGAAGAGTTGTTCTCCATTCTCTCAAGAAACCACTCATTGCTTTCCTCAATATCTTCCAAGAGAATAAGATCAATGTCTTTCTTTTGATATCGGCGTCTCAAAGCATGATTATATTTCACAAAGACTAAATCATTTAATCGGCCTTATGTCAATCTGTTTCTCTTCTTTGTATGAAGCTGCGAGAAGTAAAAATTTAAATAAATTATTAAGTAAAAGGTTTATAAAATGTTATGATAGGAAAGAAATATGAAAAGATAGTTTTTTACAATCTGAAAAACACCTCAATTCATCTCACAACTAGTAGCACTGCAAGTGATACTAATGACTCTAATAGCAAATTTTTGGAGGTTTGGAGTTGAAGCTCCGTATATAGACCACCACTTTGCTGTAAAAAAAAAAGAAAAATATTATAAACTTATTAGTTAATAATTTTAAAGAAAATAAAAATGATAAAATATTATAAGTTAATACCTGGAGATTTAATCTTCCTTTGTCTAATAGTCATCTGTAAACCAAAAAGGCCTTGGGCATTTCAATATATCTATATTTCTGTATTGATTTTGTCTTGAATTTCAATCTCTGGATTCAACCTTGTAATACAATCATATAAACCCTCATAACTTCTTCACAAGATGAAGTATCAGAATTATCATAAAAGAGATTCATGTTTAAACAGTGATCGGTTGCATGCAAAGGTTGGTGAAGTTGACAATTCCATCTTTTATCGGTACATTCAAAAGCTTTGTTATAATTCTCCTCCTTCATTATAAAGCTTTTACTAATAGATTCCTTAGCTCTATCAATGGCTTTGTAAATATACCCCGTAGGTGGTTTCTTCTCTCCATCAACCATTCTCAAAACCTTCATAAGAGGTCATGTTAACTTAAGCGCGTAGAGTACATTCCACCAAAATGTGTCTTGTAGAATGTAGGATGCCATCTTTTTTCCTCTCATTTCCTTTGGCCACTTAGATTCATTCCATTCTTGAGAATTAATCATCTTTCTCAAGTTGTTTTTTTGCTTATGGAATTGGGCAAGCGTGATGAAAGATATCGCAAATCTAGTAACCGTGACCTATGCAAATTTCTCTGATTTGTGAATCTCCTCATCATGTTCACAAGAGAAATGAGATTTTATATGTAGTCATTAATGAACATACACTTCTTCAGTACATTCTTCACCTTTGGAATATCTCAAATATCCTCCAACATTAAATCGATGCAATGAGCCATGCATGGGATCCATTAGAGATTTGGTCTTGCGACCATTAACAATTTTCCTATAAATTAATAAAACAATAATCAAGTAACTTGAATAAAACAAAAAAATAAAGGGAAAAAAGTAAATAATTTAATATTTTTACCGGCTTTGACATAGTTAGATGCATTATACGTTACCACTTGGACCACATTTTTCTCGCCTACTTCCTCCACCATTCCATCAAGCATTTTAAAAACCATGTCGACATCCTTCACAATCTATAAACATCGAACCCTTTGGAGAGTTAATAAGAAAGTTCACAATATCTTTTCGGGCCACCGAATCACGTCATCCGTAATTGAACACCCTTTTAACACCTATTCTTTTTTATGATCCTCTATAATCTTTTAGGTGTTATCCATTTTTTTAAGGAGGGAAACTCTAAGCTCGTGCATACTTGGTGGTTTCAATTCGAGATCAATTGTCCAATACTTTCACACATCTCCTTGAAGCTAGGATAATTTACTGCATTGAATGCAATTCTGACATCATAAAAAACCTAGCAATCAACGTACAAGTTTTCTCCCTTAATTGCTTAGCACAAGCTGCATGTACGCCTCCCTCTTTATTCAGATTAGCTTTAAGAGATGAAACAAACAAATCCATTGAACCCTTAAACCTTGGTTTTTTGGGTAATTGTTTCCCACTCTTTTAACTTGAACTACCGCCACATGTGTTCAATATCTCAATTTATTCTTCTCTATCATAATCATCAACATCATAAAGAGATTCTTGGAACATCATCAAATTTTAGGCATTCGCCTCAACCTTCTTCATCATAAAATCTTTCACTTCTTCCTTCACATGTTTAGGACATTTAAGGCATTCAGTTACATTTCTGAGTCCTCCAACCAAATGTTGTTTCATTTGTTGTGCCCCTAGTAAAATTGTTTTAATTTGTAGGATCTGATTTTCCATATTTTCTTGTCGGATCTAAATTACCGGTTGATCCACCAGTAGAAGATGTCTCCAAGTCTATTTTTCAACAAACTGAAATCTTAAAAATATAAACAATGTTCAACAAATATAAATAAAAAATTTAATAATTGTTATGTAATTTACGATCAACAAATATAAACAATATAAACAAACTGAAATTTAATAAAAACATATTTTCTTATAGTTTTTTATTGTAGTTTTGTGTTCCAAGATTACAAATATAATAAAAATTTAAAAATATCATAAGTTCCAAGATCTATAAGTTCTATTTGGAGACTTTACTGCAAATAGATCAGCTTTGTGTCAACTTAATTGCCGAATGAGACATTAGACCAAATCGAAGGTTGTCATCTTGGTCACGAATCTCGATTTTTTAAATTTAATAAAAACAAATTTAATAAAAACAATATAAATAATCTGTAATATATGATCAACAAATATTTTCTACACTAAAAGTTTCATTTAAAAAAGCCCAATATTCAACAAATATAAATAAAAATTCAATATTCAACAAATAAATATTCAACAACTTGATTAAATTTGCGATCAACAAAAAAAAATCTAAGAAACAGGTCGTTGTTTAGGTGGAAAAGAAAAATAATAGTTGTTGGAAGAAACTTGGGAAGAAGAGAAGAGTATAAG